TTGCATTGGTTTATTGTCAATAATTTCTGCAGCGTACGCAAAATAAAGATTTTTTCACACTACCGAAGTTTTCATACGGATCCCTAACGTTTTTAAAAATATTTTATCGCCTATTATCAGGGATGTAAGATTTTAATAGTAAAAAAACAAATCAGTCCAAAAGTTTCGGAGCCTATTCAATGCAAACAAACATACAAATCTTACCTATTTACAATATTAGTGAACACAAGGTAGGCAAACCGATCTTCTGGCACGTTACGTCTGTACTATAGATCCAAGAAATTTTCCCTTAAAATTCCTGACAAATTCCTTTGAACTTCACTATTAATAATCTCAGGGGTAGGTTAACCACCAAATTGTTATTAGATACATGATACAATAACATCTATATACATATATAGTAAATAGTAATTATAAATAAATAAAATAAATAACCCTGGACAATTAACAAAGCGCTATCTAGTTCCACGGTAAGCAGAGCTTGTGTTATAAGTACTAGACAACTGATATAAATAACATAGGTATATATTTTTGCAAATACATACATAATATACATACACAGTCAGACAGATACAAACAATGATACTCATGAATACAAATGTTTGCACCATGCGAGGAATCGAACCCGGGACCATCGGAAGTGAAGCGGTGTGCTAAATCGCTAGACCGAGGCCGTCAGTTATAATAGTACGTATAACATATTCTGTAAATAATATACTATGAGAACGTTATACCTTAGTGGTTTACTATCGAATTATAGATCTCAAAGGTAGTGAGTTAGAATCTTGCCAACATCAAAACATTATTATGAAATCAACAAAGTGTAGTCAAAACAAAAATGAAACTGGTAAAGTGTAAATTGTATTGAAAGTAGTTTTATTTTCGCTGCAAGAAGGTACGAAGTGGATGTTCACAATTTCTAAATAAATAAACAATTTAGAAATCCATTCATATTCACCGATTCGAGAAAATATTCAATATTTTCACTTTGGGGAAAACAGTAACTATTGTCTGTTTTTAAAACCCGGAGACTAATTTGACATTACCTATGTTACCAGATTCTTGCAATTTTTAAAACAAGGATGTATAAATCAATATTTAATAAACTATAACAACTTTTTCTATATTCAATTTATGATGCCTGTTGCAAACTCTTTGCACATTTTTGTATATTTATTTTTCTATCAATTTTAAATGTATTTTTTTTTAGAATTGTTATATATTTTTATTGTCACTTTTTGCCTACAACCGTTTGTACACGTACCTATCTTCATTATAAGTATTTACCATTTTCTATCCATTGTTTGATTTACATCACACATACAGTCCACTCATTCTATCACCTACAATTCCCTTTTATTCTAATAAGTGTTATGTATGAAACACAGACCTTAATATTTCCTCGTGTATATAAGGCAATATGGACTATATTTTATGGGTTAGTCAGAAATAATGTGTGGATGTTTATTAAAAACGCATTAAAACAAAATTAATAAAGTATAAATATTACAGACTATAAAAGAATAGATAAATCAATAGCATGTATAGTTACGGAGATGTAACTTTTTTGGATCGCAACCCCAAGGAAAGAAATATATACTGCCAAATTTTCTCCCTCTATTTTTTTTCTATACACGTGTTGGGATCGTCTGTGGCTTTATTACGTGTAAGATTAAGATTAACTACCCAAATATAGGATATTGAGACCTCGGAGCGCGGTGAGCAAGGGTTATGACGTTAAAGTGACTGTAAACATATAGAGTGATATTGGAGTTTGAAACATGCGCCCTAAATAAACGTTCAAGTTGTTAGAACATAAAAGCAATTTAATAGAAATCTATATACACGTGTACCATTTATATACCGTACGACTTAATTCTACATATTCTCAACAAGCTGTGCCTGCGACTTCATTTTTAAACATGAATAACCTAACCTAAAAAAACTTAAAAAAAGTTTCATCGTTCTAATTTCAAAAATGACGAATTTCTATACAAACTCTCATCCGCTATTTTATTTTGCCCCTTAAGGATAAAATTTTTACAAACTTTAAATGTCATATTTATTTATATTTAATCAACAGCCTAAAAATAAGCTTTAGGTTTCTAGCTTTAAAAATGACGATACTTCCATACAACCTTTCATCTTCCTTTTCAACAACTACAAGGATTGTTAATAATGTGGACTCATGACCCCATTATTAGCAACGTACCATGTCAGGTCGACCTCCACGTGGAAACCATCGTGATAAATTCCCGGTGAAATTGTCACGATGGGCTAACTGACCTGACGTCATGCTCCTCTTATGATCCTCCACTGTGGTCCGCCAGCGTAAACCGTTAGCGCAGGTGGGTGCACCATTCCATTATCATCCATGCAAAATAAACCTTTTTTCGCATTCAAAAGTAAAGCCCATGTCCTTTCTCAGGGTCTAGACTATCTGTGTACCAAATTTCATTTCAATCGGTTCAGTAGTTTAGCCGTGAACATAGTCATTTATTTCTACTATGTTCCTATCAGTATTAATTAATAATAATAATAATAATTTCAAGACAATTCACACAGCGCCATCTAGACCCAAGTTAAGCTAGATAAAGCTTGTGTTATGGATACAAATACATAGATTTTTTTTCGTAAATACATACATACTACACAAAGAAAAGACCCAGACCGACACAAACAATTATATTCATGAATACAAATGTTTGTGCCGTACGAGGAATCGAACCCGCGACCATTGGAAGTAAGGTGTGTTAAACCGCTAGACCACCGAGGCCGTCAGTGACAGTAATTAGTCCAACGATAGTAGGTATATAATGTATCTACCGATAACTGTATTCTGTACATAATTATGTATATTATATCAAATGCCTGGTTAAATAGTGATAAACTATTACTTACAACTTAAGATAAGATAACAAAAAACGAGTGGGTACATTTTAAGTATTAGTAATAAATTCCGTTAGGTCTATAAGCCACCGGTGTGAGAATAAAGCTTACGAATTGCAAAGAATTATCTTTAGATATTCAACTTCATTTACGTTAACTATTTTGTCTGTATAAATTAGGCTAAGGTAAAGTAAAGATATCATTTAGCGAAATCTCAATAATATTATAAACGCGAAAGTGTGTGTGTATGGATGTTTGTTACTCTTTCACGCAAACACTACTGAACGGATTTTGATGAAACTGTACAGTAATATAGCATCAGAATAAGAAATAGGCTATAAATTTAAGAAACGGGTGAAACCGCGGGTAGGGCTTAGTATATTATAATTAATCTGAAAGACGGAAATGCCCACGCCCTGCTACGTTGGGTCAATACAGGAACATAAAAAAAATAATTAACCTCATTACGGTCTTCTTACAAATAAAAAGAATATTTAACTTTAATTTTCAATAAAACACGCCTTGCAGTAAAATCCCACGCACCATTTTATTAGAAAAATATCTTTGTTTTTAGGTCATGATATTAGACTATAAATTTCATGCAGATGAAACCGCGAGCACAGTTAGTACTCAATAATTTTCCAAAAAAAAAACCGACCTCAACACTAAAAAAAAAAAAACAGTTTGAAAATATATCGTTTCAACTAACTACACATTTTTCAAATTGTTTCCTGAATGACGGAGTTATGAAGTAACAAATATAAAAAAAAATCTAATGGAGATCCTCCTCTTCGAGTCGGCTAAAAAGCAAAGAACAGTTAGGAAATCGATAGATATTAACGGTTTTATTCATAAAACTTAAGAAGCCTTTATAAGCCCACTATAGCAGTGCTATAAAGGCATTATAAAAATCTCTATAACAGTATAGCCGATCATTGTTTACTTTGTACGGTACTTTGTTATATATTTTTTAAATCGAATATGGAGGGTTATTTCAGAAGAATATACCACTCCCATTGGTGCAACAATATATAATGTACTGACAGGAGACTCCTTCCCAATATTAAGATCTGTTTTAAGTTAGCATATCAATAAATTAGTGGCCTCTTTACTTAAAAAATTACTTAAAAATCATACAATACAAATGTCGTTATCAATCAATTTACGTCCTTTAGACTCGGATATGGTGCGTTCTACATATATCAATATGATACACAATTTTTAATGTAAATATAAAGTTAAGGGATTACTTTATACGGCCATCTATACCACAGATAAGATAAAGCAGCACAATAAAAATATATTCTATACAGCAACGTATCGTATCCGTAAAAAAAAAATTTCATTACATTTTGATTCAAATTCAAAAATAATTGATTCATGTAGGACATTTTATGAACTTATGAACCTCATATTTTTTATATTATATTTTTTCCCGACCTTCCAGTTCAGTATATAGATCCAATTGACAAGAACTGGCAAGAAACTTAGTTGAATTACTTTTTTTAAAGCCACTTTATTTACAATGTATATTTATATAGGTGTCTACGTCTAAATATTAAGGTATTAAAACAAACACCATCTTTATAATGTTAGTAAAATTATTCTTCAAATTAAATAAATAATGTATATATAGACCCTCATTAACCAGTTTGGTTTGAAGTCTGTTCGGTTTTCAATAATTTAGTGTAATTATTTTAACGTTATCGTAAGTACTTAGCAAATGACGGCATTTTCCAAATATTATTATGTTTTATAGTTTCCTAATGAGTTTACACAATATAATTATATCTATTTTTTGAGGTTAGCATTCTTTATTGCAATATATAAGCTAATTGCTTATATATTACGATAAAGAAATCTAGACCATTGACCATTCTAAAAAAACATTATAATATTGAACTTAATTAATATATGCAGAAATATAGAAGTTTAATAACCTCCATCTCTGTTTGGTCTATTTAGGATTCGTTATAAAATATATAGAACATGTTATGACAACCCTATAAAGTATTTTAACTAGTTGAAGAGAAATATAATGTAAATAAAAACAGCAAATAGAGTGATACTTTTTAAAGTATAAAAAGGTTTTGTATAAACATGTACGTTACCAGTAACATCAGGATGTTTCACCATGAAGTCTTGTTTAGCTCTGATCACTTCCAGTCTTATCTGATTCTCCAAAGGTGCTTCCAAAGCCGAGAACACAAATGCTCCAGACACCAAATAAGCAAAGTAAAATATTATATATAACACCAATAGCAACGTAAATCTTGAATTGCCAAACAGTCTTGTGGTTGCAAACAGTGGTTGAAAAGGTGGATGCTCTTCCTCGTATAGTATTTCTCTTTCTACGACCATTTTCTTCGGATAAGGATACAACTGGCTATGTACGGTCATGTCATTGTCGCTTCTAGCTGAACTCATACTGCCATAAGACTGTACACGTGAATACTTTTGCTTCTCCATCGTTTAAAAATGAAATCGTCAATTGACGATATAAAGAATGTTCCAAATTTAAATTACAAAATCAAAACGCGCGGGAAAGATTACTTATCTTAGTTGGCTTGTTAATTTATCAGTTCCAGAACACAAAACCGAAAATCCCGGAACGTGTCAGATTTTTGTCAACTGTATTTAAAAAACCTTTTAGGATGATTAGGTTCGAAGAACATACCGAACTCTGTCACTTTAGTATCGCGACGACACTTCTCGAGTTTAAGAATCACCATTTTGATACATTTTAATAGAACTGGTTTGAGTTAGAAATGTAATATGGCGGAAGCCAGTAGAATGCGTGAGAGTGGATCGTATGACCCGACGCGTATCGCGACAGTTAACCGACTGAGTAGTCGTCAGTCAAGTCTGTAACACATCGATATTTTATCAAAACAACAAATAAAAATTTGATAACTACCGTCTCGTGGTTGGACGATATTCTTATTACTCAATCGGTTAAGTACCTCTGTTGACCGCCTTCAAAGAAATAATATCACAATTTGTTTATATTTTGTTTATGTTGTGGCATCGTTAACATAATCAGAAATGTTAACTTTAGTATTGTTTTCGTAATGATTATAATTTATTATTTTTTGTAGGTAAAAACCAATAAGTTTAGAGTATAAAAGGTAAGAGTAAATTATCATAATAAACTGTTTCGGGATTGATATGTTTGGTAACAAAAACCCCAATTTTGGTTTTTGATAATAATAAAATTTTTTTATAAATATAAAAAAAAGTATTTTATTATTATTTTGGGGATTTTGATAATAATAAAATAATAAAAAAATATTTAGATAAAAAAAAAGTATATCTCAGAATAGAATAGAATAGAAAATTCTTTATTAAAATAAACCTAAATTTAAGCACTTTTGAATGGTTATTTCATTACATTTTTTTTTAATTACCGCTCATTCTACTACGAACTAGAGAGAAATTTGCGTATTGCTCTTTTAAATAATTGTTGAAACTATACATTTTAAAAATAAAATGTGTATATGTACTGACCTGTGACACAAGGGTGGTCCCTCAGGAAGTCCACCTTCAGCTCGGCGATATGCTCCTCCAATTCTTGTTCCAGTGGACTCTCAATAGCTTGAAATACCGATGCACCTGACAATAAACATATTATCAATCAACATTGATACTACAACATATCAGCACACTATGAGGTAGTGTATCTTTCTATGGTAACGGGTTTGATTCCTGTATCTTAATCTTAATAATATTATAAACTCCAAAGTTTGTAAGTATTCATGGATGTTTATTACTCTTTCACGCAAAAACTACTCAACGGATTGTGATTAAACTTTACAGTAATGTAGCTTATACATCTGAATAACACATAGGCTATAATTTTAAAAGATATTATGTAAATTGGACGTAATAATAATAATAATAATAATCTCAGGATAATTCACACAGCGCCATCTAGACCCAAGTTAAGCTAGCTAAAGCTTGTGTTATGGGTCCTAGACAACTGATACAAATACATAGATAATTTTTTTTCGTAAATACATACATATTATACATAGAAAATACCCAGACCGATACAAACAATCATACTCATGAATACAAATGTTTGTGCCGTGCGAGGAATCGAACACGCGACCATTGGACGTAAAGCGGTGTGCTAGACCGCTAGACCACCGAGGTCGTCAAGTAATATAATGATAGATGTCACGTAAGTGTGATGCAAACGAAGTTGCGCGAGTCAATTAGTATTAAAACAAATAACTGTATTACTTAATAGATTTATATTATTTTGTTTAATTCCACTACCATTAGCACGTGTGAGACCACAAATATTCAATTAGCGAAAATATTTAGGTTTTAGTTTTTTAGTCTGGTGAAGCTGTAAAGGCTATGACCAACAGGAGTAGAGTAGCCCAAGAAAAATATGTTAATTATGTATGTATTTACTAAAAAATGTATCTAAGTATTTATATCAGTTGTCTTGTATCCATAACTAAAACTCAGCTTAGCGTATTTATATCAGTTGCCTAGGTAATACAAGCTCTGCTTAGCTTACCACTAGATGGTGTTGTGTAAATTGTATTAGATCATTAATTCGCGTGATTGTTAACCGAAATTTGTCTATTTCCTTGGACTGCTGATCTTCAGTTTAATTTACGTAATAGCAGTTGTTGCTAATGACAGAATCACTTGATAAATACGGACCTTATCGATCTCACCATCAGGATGTTGACTTCTCTAGGGCTAAATTGGTTTTGAATTTAAATTACTTGTTCGTTAATCAATTATACAAAGTTACGAAACTAGCTGTTTGCTCTGGATTCGCTCGTGTGTAGAAAATAAAACTAATGAAGAGCATAAGATTTTTCTTTTTATATATTTTTACTCTTATATAAGATTTTTCTTTTTTTTTTACTTACATGAAGATATTTAAACTATTTTTTTAAAATTATAGTAGATATATAACTTTATAATTGTCTTATTCAAACATGTCCTTTCATGATTTAAAACATTCAGCAGAGAGAGAGAGATTCCGAGCAGTTCCCGGGACTTGTGACCCGGGTGTAGGTTAAAGAGCCCATTTGCTGATACGTCAACACTCACCTTCGCCGCTTGTGTTTCTCTCCCTGCCTGTCTGGACAAGCATTTAGACAAATGTGGTAGAACTTGCTAGTGTAGCTTTGGAGACACGTTTTAGTATAAAACTTACTTGTCGAAGTACGTCAACACTCACCTTTACCTCTCGTGTTTCTCTCTGCCCAGACAGATCTGGTAGGAGCCTGCTACTGCACTTTTAGATACATGTTCTATAGAACTCAGCGCAGTTCTAGAGAGGCCAAGGTTTCTTAGAAAGTAAAGAGATTTCGTCGGTATACCTCTCGCTCCCACTCAGACCGCATATAAATTTATGATATAGTAATTTCTCGTTAATTTGTTTATTAGTTTATAACATTTATTTGCCCAGCCAAATTTTTTATATTGTAACATTGAAAAGCACTGAATAAATATTTTTTCTTTCTTTCTTCAAATCTGGTACGATCCTGCCAGTGCTGTTTTAGATACCTATTTTAGTATAGAACTCAGTGCCAGATCTCAGATCAGGCCAAGATCTTTTAGAGGTTAAAGAGATTTGCTGGTATTCCTCTCGCTTCCACTCAGACCGCATATAAATTAATGATATATTAATTTTCGTTAATTTGTTTATTAGTCTATAATATTTATTTGCCCAGCCAAATCTGATAGGAGCATGCTAGTGCTGTTTTAGATACCTTTTTAAGTATAGACTAGCCACAAGATCTTTTAGAATAGAGTGAGAGATTTCGTTGGTATACCTCTCGCTCCCACTTCGATCGCATATAAATTAATCACATAGTTTATTCGTTAATTCATTTATTAGTTTATTTTATTTATTTGTTTTTATTGTATGGTTTTTAGGTAAAATGTAATAAAACGATATGATACGCGGGTAGGTATATTCGTACGGTGTTACTTATTACGTCTCTCAAGAGGTACACGAAAAAAATAAATTTCCGCTAATCTAATATGTACCCAATACCCTTAGAACATAAATATGACATTTATATGTATACTGGTATTATTTATTGCTAATATTAAGATGGAATCATTAGAGAGTCTCGTAGCTTAGTGGTTTATAAGACGTATAAACATCAATGGTCGTTAGTTTGAATCTTGTCGATATAAAAAAAACTGGGTTAATGTATATTTCTAACTGCCTCTTCAGTACATAACAGGAAGGAATCGTTAGTATTCAGGTAGATGTAGTAACGTAGGCAACGTAGGCATCCGCTAAGAAAGGATTTTGATAATAACGAATAAATAAATAAATAACTCTGGACAATTAACACAGAACCATCTAGTCCCATGGTAAATTGATTCCTTTTTTTAAAAGCCAATTTACTTACATTTTACACTTAGGTGTTTAGGTACCGTTAGTCCACCGAGACCGTCAGGTGTATTCTTTTGTTTAGATACAATAGTAGAATTTGGAAATCTACAAACTTTTTTTCTTATACAACTGTTTCTATACAAAAGTTTACATGTACAGATCAAAGGTCGAGTCTGTAGGTAAGATTTGAAGTTCAAATGAACTTCAAATGAGATTTCTCAACTTACTAAGTAGCCAAATGACAATAGAAGTTTTTAATTTTTTTTTGTTTGTAATGCTGTCTGTACCTTATTGATTTACAATAGTTTACTTTCAATTCTCGTACATTGTTTTGTTTGTATAACTAACTAAAATCTAAATATATATAACTCAAAGGTGCACAGTGCACAGCCTTTCCTTTGGCCACTGGACGGATCGGGTTGAAATTTGGCATGCAGTTAGATGTTGTAACGTAGGCATCCGCTAAAAAAGGATTTTGATAAATTCTACCTCCAAGGGGATAAAATAAGGGGTGAAAGTTTGTATGAAACTTTGTCAATTTTAAGCCGACCGGGCTGAGACTTTGCATGCATAAAGCTACTATGACGTAGGCATCCTCTAAGAAAGGATTTTGATAAATTCCACCCCTAAGAGGATAATATAACGCGAGCGAGGCCGCGGGCAAAAGCTAGTTACTAATATATTATTTGTTATTGTTCTCCGTTCATGACAATGGTTTTCACATATTAAAGAGCTTGAAGTTTATTGCACTATACATACTTCTATAGTTTTAGTATACCATGTATACTAAAGTACACCAAACATTTGTATTTGTGAATACAAATGTTTGTATTTTCTAGGGGTATTTTTTGTAAACTATGTTAAGTAGTAGTTGTGTTGTACAGATAATATGACTAGATGCAGTTGTGTGAGTTGTTCAGGATTATCTATATATTATAGGAGAAATTATTTATTACTATCTATTATTACGAGGTAAGATTTGTTTGTTAATATGTTTACATTTAATAGACACCGAAACTATACCAATTTGAAATAATTTTTCCTGTTAGAATCCTACATTATTAATTACATAGGCGATAGAATAATTTCAACGTTAGATATATTACAGATACAGATAATATGGAAACTTTAAGGTGCGAAATAAATACCAAAATGTGTTAAATTTTTTAATTTTTGTTCAACACCCGTGCGAGACCGCGGCGGATCGCTTGTTACATAACTGCGTTTTAATTTAACATTAATTTTAGAAAAGAAAAATAGTTTAAAACTTTACGAACTAAAACCTAAAAAATAAAAGGCAAAAAGCGTATAATTTCAAAGAGCTGACATTGAAAACTCCAGGGTCTCGTGCTGAGAAAAATGTGGAAAATTCCAAAGTACTTTTTTCGCCCTCCGAAACGATTTATAACACTTACGAACGAAATTAAGACCGTAAAAGTATTTTTAGAT